AAAAATATCTCATACAATTATTCTCTCTGCATCAGATCACATGAAAATTAGTCAAAATTTTGGGTGTTCGAAGTAATGGTTTCAATTTTGAGTTGTGGAATTCAGTCAGGAATCATTTTGAATATGAAACAATTGCGAAATTGAAAGAGGTGTATTCGAAAACAAATCTTTAATTAATAACAATGTAAATAATATAACTTGATAAATCATTTCATAAGAATGGTAGGTACCTAGAAATAAGCCATAAAAATTGTTCAAAGTGATGCCCATTAGATATTATACAGGCTTCGAAACGTCGAATCACTTCTCTCGTACAAGTCGCTCTTATAATATCAGGCGTAATATCACTGCACGCTAGTCGTATATGACGTCAATATGCACGTCAATATGACAGTTTTTTCAATGAATGTTTTCTACATCATACAAATGTTTTTTCTAATTTTGCTGTTTCTTCAACAATGATTTAACAAATTCACCAATTGTATCAACAAATTATGTATTCAGGACAGTAGAAGAAATAAAAAAATCGTTTATATGAGTTTTCTGTTAACAACACCCAAATCAATACTTGAGGACTATATAGACGACATACCGAAAATAACGACATACATAGCCAGCGAACTCTAACACCGAAATTTGTGATAAAACGGTATTGTATAAAATAAATAAGGGAGCACACTGCCATTGCAAGTATATTCAGCACTTCTGCAGTAATGCCAACCTTGTGGATTTTATAAACTCAATTTATATTTTAATGCGTAATTCAATTCTTTATTTTCCTCGTGCTCTTTTATCGTTCAGAATTTTATAGCTGGGTATTGTCGGAATATTTGGGATTTTATTTTTCATGAAAGATATATGTTCTTTCATAATACAAACTTATGAGATATGCGAGGTAGATTCGAAATACGTGATACGAATATGATCGAGGGTAGATATTGTTTTGCAATGAATAACTTCTATCATACATGTTGATTATATGAGTGAGTTCTTGATAAATAAACGCTAAGCTTATTTAAAATTCAATAACTATATTCAATGTTCCAAAATAATCTGAATACTTTTTTGATAGTAAATTAACTTGAACCTGAAGAATTTGGGTT